CCCCAAAAAAAAAAAAAAAAAAAAAAAAAAAAAAAACAAGCCATTACGTGTTTTTTAAAGGAACGGATGAACGGCAGGAGCAGAAACGCGTGTCAATCGAGCTCGTCGTCCAAAAAAAAAGTATTGCGTAATCGGTATATACTTGCACACCGCAGGGCGTGCAGTGATACTTATATAAATGTGCATGCAGTGCGCGGCGATACACGATACACTCCACCACCCCCTCGTCAGGTATATACACCATATATCTATTATACTGGGGGTTATATTATATACATATTGTATACACGCGTGTAACACTTATACCTAGCGCGAAGAGAGGAAATACGGGCGCTCTGTCGCTCTCGTATGAGGTACCTATACGTATATATGTACACGTTGTATATCCGCCCGCATGGGGGGTTTATTATACGAATGGATCCCACACTCACCGTGTAAGGATGCACTGGGGCTGTGAGTCGAGGCCTGGAGCTGGTGGTACAAGTGATCCATGTAGTTGAGCCGATAGGCAGGATGTAGGGCAGCGGCGGATAGCTGGCTCCTCCTGAGGAAGTCGTTGGTGGCCGCAGCCGCCGCCGCCGCCGCCGCTGCCGCAGCTGCGCTACTCTCGGCACCGCTTTGCTGTTGTTGCTGGACCGCCTCCGGGTCGCTCGTACTGCCGCTGCTCGCGCTACTGCTCCCGTTGCTCACGCCGTTTGCACCCGGGCTACCGAGGCTCGTGCTACCAGCTGGCAACCTGTGACAAAAAAAAAAAAAAAAAAAAGAAAAACAAGCCGCATCGTGTTAATATACGTTGTACACGTTCAAGTACTATTGTTAATGTGATATATGGATAAGAGTGAACGAGTAGACATGCACCGGGGGATATATTATAAGTGCTGAGGATGACGGTGAGAGATTGCACATGGTGAGGAAGATGGAGGAGGAAGAGGCCAATAAGCGAAAATTGGGCGCCAGCGACTATACCGGCGCGCCGTTCTATTTTAGACAAAAGCCAGAAGAACAGATGGGACCCGGGAATATATATTATATATTCCTATAGGAGGACGAGAGATGTGTACCAGCCCTTCTTTGTGGTATATACGTATATCATAGCTGCGCTCGAAGGAGGCATCGAACAGACAAAAAAAAAAAACCCCCACTGTATCTTTATACACACGCGTATATATATTATTGTTGTGTTGATGGTGTGCAAATTAACGATGATCGAGTGATGCACTCGCTCATATATATATATATATATATATATATATATATATATATATATATATATATATATATATATATATATATATATGTGTATATAGGTACACCACGTATACCCAACAATGTCGAAAATTAAAACTAGCCAGGGTCTCGGCTTCTGCTGCACCGATGACTCGAGTTTCGAGGCACTCGACTATTTTCAGCGCGCACGTTCATACACTCCCCGCGTTTCTCCGTAACAATTAATCGAGCTTTCCTATTGGGATCGCGGAGCTTGCAGGCATACACATTATAACACCGATGTATGTATACCTTGTACCCTCGTGGGTGGGTATGTATATATACATTGGCTCTTCCTTGGGGGGGGGAGGGGGCTCGATGTGAGAAAAGGAGGAGGAAAAAAAAAAGTAAAAATGCGGGGTATAGGTGTATGGCAGTCAAGTGTTTTTTTTTACACGCCGATCTCGCCGGGAGGAAGGACGATGATAATATTTGGGCACGGCTAAAAGTGGCGCAAGTGGCCGAGAAAATAAGCGAGCCCAGCAGAATGGAAGAGAAAATAAAAAAAAAAAAATCGTACACGCTCGTAGGGAGACAGTGCACAGACAGACAGTGTGTGTATATACATGATGGCAAAAGTGTCGACTCTTGAGCTGCAGGAAATGAAACTGCAGGCAGTGCGGTATGGGAACGCTCGCGCGAACCATCTGGCGGAGGATACACCATGACGACGCGGATACACGTATATATTGTACTCACATGTGCGCGCCACGACGCGAGTTTTTCCTCCTCGTCCCTATATATGCGATGGCTCCTGTACCCGCGTCGAGATGATAGATCCTAAATACTTGTGTGTGCTGATGCGACATCGGGGCGGACAGCACAGGGAGCATGTTTATATACACAACAGCGTAGAGGGAAAAATTTGGGGGAAACGAAAGGCGGGCCAGAGTCTTTTGAAAACCGATACCCGATGGATAGTACGGCCGAGTCGGCGATAACTCTATAAGCGACTGTATAATATACACACGCGAGAAGCCCAACAGCTAAACGGAAGAAAAGACGTTTCCCTCCTCCTCCTCCTTTGAAAAACAGTAGCAGCAGTAAAAGCCACCGAACGTACCGGCAGTAAAATCCATCGGACAAACGCGTAAAGCTCGGCAAAAAAAAAAAAAAAAAATCGCGGGGGCCAAAGTTAAATGAGAGAGAGAAACGCGTATACATGCATATATATATATACCGATGATGATTGCGAGACGAGAGGAAAAAAAAAAGGCTGGCCCGAGAGTCCTCCTCTCTATACGGAGCCGGCTCTGGCGTCTTTAATGTCGCGCGTCGCCTCGTTTTCCAATGCTCCCTTTGCCGGCGCGCGATCGTATAACTTTATATATAGCGTTTCGTATATACATCACCATCAGGTCTGGAAGGCTGATGTGCGCGCGGATATACGTACACACGCGTAATAGTCCTGGGACTGTGTGTTTTTTACACTTGTATATATGTGTATACGAATAACGCCTCTGCGCGCGGTAGAGGGACATTAACGACAGCAGCAGCTCTTTGATCGCCAAAGCTGAAAAGCCAGCCCTTTTCTTTTCCTTCTTTTTTTCTTTTTTTTTTTTTTCTCAGATTTTTCTGCCTTTGTCTCTCTTCTCTTTCGCGCCGACTATATATGTGTGCAGTGCAACTATTTTTAAAATCCCGCGGTGGAAGGTTTAAGCCTAATTTACCATCGGCTAGCTGATGCGAAACTGCACCGACGCGACTCGCCGAGTTTTATTTCGCGAGCCCCCTCCCCGTGTACCTATATATCCATGCCGATGTGCGCGTGTCCGTCACGGTGCTTTTGGCGCCTTGTACGTGAATATACGTGTATACTTTTAGTTGGGGAATTTCGTTCATCTGGGGTGGTATCTTTCGTACATCGAGCCTTGGAATATTTGGATTTACCTACGAGCTTTTTAGTTTTGTTCCAACCCCCTCTTTGGGCTCTACTCGTGTGCACGTACACGTGATTAGCTTCAAAAAGCTCTCGAGATGTGCTTTTCGGCCAATCGAGATATAAGTATTCCCACGAATTCACAAGTATTTTTAGGTATCCTCACTCGACTCTAACTTCGGAGGACTGGTTTCATCCCTCGATCGATTTCAAATCGGGTTATCGGGACAAATCATACTTACTAATAAGCAAAATTTTACACATTGTTCTCGTATCTTTGTACAAACGATTATTGTGAAAAACTGTTGTCAACGCTGATGTCTTTTGAGCAAAAAAAATCTATAAAGATTTACAAGGATGAAGCGAGTCTATATGATAATTTCGATGAAAATCAAACAAATGACATGTGGATTTGTAAGGCATTTTTATAAGAGTTGAATTAACATTTTACCAAACTAACAAAAAAAAAGAAAAAACTGTTTATCTTTTTGATGATTGTGAAACAAATAAACTCATGGAAGCACCTTAATTTTGGAATCATTTGTGTCGCACAGTGGCGCAGCATTTTTTATTCACAGAAAATAAAATCATTTTCGTTTGATAACGGAATTTACCTGTACATCACTGTTACTTTATCTGTAAAGTTTTCGTAGATCTTTGTGATTTTTTTTTTTTTTTTTTTTATTTATGAAAATATCAAAATCGGCTACGTATAGAAAAAACAATCTTTGCATAATAGCGTTCATAGTATTGACCAANTATATACCCATTACCCGAGAAACTCTCCCTGTTACGGCACAAACGTATATATACCCACGCGCAACAATCCCCAACGATTCAAAAGGCTGTATGCACGATATTTAAAAAAATAAATAAATAAATAATCCTCGTGTGTTGTGTCACGTTTTCGAGTGCACCATAAGACTGTGCTGCTGTATAGTATACAGGGTCCCTGTCTTTTTTTTTTTTTTTTTTTTTTTTTTTTTTTTTATTTATGAAAATATCAAAATCGGCTACGTATAGAAAAAACAATCTTTGCATAATAGCGTTCATAGTATTGACCAAATAATCAAACAACGCAACTTTTCACCTCGAAAGTAACTATTCAATTTGCCAGTGCCCACCAACAGACTGCATTACATACTTTAGTGTTCAATCACCGGCAGCTACTTGGAAACTTTGTGTATAAGCACAATTTTTAGAATGAAAATCATGCATGTACAAATTTTTTCGTGTATTTACGGGGACAAAAAAATAAATTTCTCGTGACGGTATTCTATATTTTTGCTCACCACTTGGATTCTATATACATGCGCATATATATAATAGTGAGAAACACGATCTTCGCAGGTGATGTGTAATGTAACGCGATTGATGCCAAACAGTGCTAATTACTTGTTAAAAAATCCGTCAAATAACGTGTTGATTGAAGTAAAAAAAAAAAAAAAAAAAAAAAAAAGAGAGACATCTTCCCTGTAAATATATGCTTTTCGCGATCAATCACGAAAGCAGTAATTTTCACGTATTGCTTCAAACTCTTGGTCAATTTATTATTATTTTTTTTCTTCAACAGCGATGTGTCGACACGCTCCCACAGATGTATAAATGTTGTATATACATAGGCACAAAAGATACATCGTTCACGAGCGTAAAACTCGAAAAGTATCACATGTGTAGGTAGCCCCAAAGCACCGAAGCGCCACAGCACCGGGCGCGTATATATTCCGTTAATGAAGTTATTTACAGGTCCCTCTATATGCTCTCTCTCTCGATGCTCGACCTCTCTCTCCTCTTTCTTCCAGTGCTTCTTTTTTGCCACCTCCCCCCCCCCCTTCCTTTCCTTTCTCTTTGCCCACCTTCCGCCCATGTACACACACATAAATCCACGCACCGCGAAACTCGTAACGCGTAAAAGACGAGTCGGCCAACTACCGAGTCCCCGATGGGCAATCCGATCTTCTTTCTTCGCCGCGTGACCAAATAAACATGTATATATACGGCCAACAACCATCGGGCCATCGCTGACGTGTTAATGCCCCACGCTGGATTTATTTTCGCTCCGTCGTAAAAGTTGCCGATTTTCGGAGCCTCGCATATATACATATTTATATACCCATTACCCGAGAAACTCTCCCTGTTACGGCACAAACGTATATATACCCACGCGCAACAATCCCCAACGATTCAAAAGGCTGTATGCACGATATTTAAAAAAATAAATAAATAAATAATCCTCGTGTGTTGTGTCACGTTTTCGAGTGCACCAAAAGGCTGTGCTGCTGTATAGTATACAGGGTCCCTGTCTTTTTTTTTTTTTATACTCTTGTGCTCCCGGTCGGCTGGTAGGTAGCCATCTACGTTAAACCTGTTTGCTCCCCGAGCCGGCACGCAGGATTGGTCGGTCGCATCAATTGCCTTTTGAAGTCGATTTTCTCTCTCAATTCCTTCCTTCCTCCTCCTCCTCTTTTTCAACGCAATCGTCAATGGTTTCGTTTTTGCTGTTTTTTTTTTCTCTTCTCCAGCACTCGGGCAACGCCAGCCTATGGACAGGACACAAGCCGAAGCACGAGTGTATACACATACGCGAGCGA